CACTTCCTATTGAACTTTAATTTGTATTCACACTTAACACTGTGCTCCTCACCAACATCCAATTTGTCAAACCTCTGTTCAGAACTGGCTGAAAGAGGAGGAATACTACAGATCAGAAGCAGCTACCCTGGAACAGCTGTTCAGAGACAGCTGCACCATGCCCACTACAAGCTGATGCTGTTAGCTTGTTAGCTGGACAAGCACCAAATTTACAAGAGAGGCAGACAAGAGGAGTTCATTGCTTGCCTCCACTGCTTTCCCCGTGAACAAGGAACCGGTCGTGCTGCTCCTAAAGGTTCTGGTCTGGTCCAGCTTGATGAGTTGCTTGTGGTACTGCAAGGCAATGCGTGCAGTCACGCCGGAGCCTGTGGGACTCCTGTCAACCTAAGCAGAAAAGAAGAAATATAGCTGGGTTCTTTCAGTCTTTCAAGAAAAGACAAATGCCAGCCTCCCACCCCGCCCCAGCTCCATCCCATATAAATACAGACAATTGGGCAGTACTTTTCTGGCCCATGGGTTTGTCGGGGGACAAAAAATACCACAGAAATTCAGTAGATTCAGATGGGAGTGAAAAAACCAAGTTAATTCAATACTTCCAGGTGTTATTTAAAGCAGTGTTTCTCAACCACAAAGGTCATGTAGGTGGGACTTTTCCGAAACAAGTGGCATTTCTGAGAAAGGTAGGGGGCCTAAAATGCACGTAAACGTAAAAATACACTTCTTGGAAAAAGGGTTTTTTTGTTTTTATCATAGTGGGACCAGGGTTTTTTGACAAAATGGTTGGTGGGACGCAAGGTGCAAACATTTGAAAACAGCTGATCTAGAGCATTAAAACTACGTTGCATTCAGGCTTGCCACTTACTTCAGCTCCTCCTTTAGCGAAAGAATTTGCTGGTACATGCAACTGCTATTCCGCAGATCACTGTCCTGTGACAATTGAGGGAATATCTCACCAATTAAGCATAGCTTTAGTCCTGGGCAAAAACGCATCTAAAATCTGCAGTAGCTTGTTTACTCTCACTGTACTAAAAACACGTACTCCACAGCACAGCCCAGCCCAGGCAGTTTGAAAGGTTAGATTCTGTAGCCCTTATGAAAATAAGGGTTTGCAGCAAGCCAGCTTTAAAGTACCTGTAAAACCAAAGTAAATAGCTATGCAGAGCCTCCAAGGTATTCCAACTGCTCACTGGGTGTTATTTCAAAGGACACTGCCTCTCCAATCAATTCCATGGGACAGCTGGAAGTAAAAGCTTGGAAGTAAAAGCTGCAGTAAAGAGCTGAGCAGCTTGTCCTTAATTCAGGAACATGCTGAGAACGAAGCAGGCTGTGAAACACATGGGTATGAATCGTCTGGATTCCACTGTTTTAAGAAAGAGTGACTCCAATATCTTTTGAAAGTTAAAATTGAGGTTATGCATTCTGCGCAGCACAAGAGGCAGCAGAAGCTTTATGTGCCAGGTACCCTGCGGATACACACAGCACAGGAAGTCATTCCCTTGTTCGGTTCAAGTAGCGAGTCTTCATACCTGTGCATCTCCAAACACACAGATGTTGGTGGTTGGCTCATCACTGAATGCATCTTTTCCGTCCGTTAAGATGGTGCCATAAATGAACGCAAGGTCTTCGCTATCAGGGTGATGAGGTTTGAACTAGGAAACACCATGCAGAGTACATTAATAAACTAATGCTCCAAGCAGATCTTTTCACCAACCTGCAATAAGACTTCCCCGAAGTGACAGATGTAGACAGAGATGTTACCCTAATGCTACAGTTTGAACAGCTTTCTAAAGGAGACCTAGGCATGCTTTTTGGTTCCCCAAGAATGCCAATGGCTTCCTTAATAACAATGAAACCAAGTTCCTTATTTCAGGTTCTTTTAAGTCTAAAAATTGTAGATTTGCAAAATTTCACCTGCAAACACAAACCCTCAGAATTTTGCAACCAGAGGTGCACTGATATATTGGTCCCATATCAGATCACCACCGATAAAAGGAAAATCAACATTATTGGCAATCAGCTTTTTTTGGCCAGCGTAGCTGATAATGTCACCGCTAAGTGCTGTGTGCATACATGCAGACGCAGCATGCATGTTGCCAGCAACGCAACCCAGCAGCTTGGAGAGCTGGCTGGTAAGTCTGTGGGGGGCGGGTGCAGATTGAGGACCCCATGGTGAGGGACGGAGAGGGGCAGGTGCTGCCCAGCCACGGTGGTGAATGCAGCCCTGCTGGGAGTGGGACAGAGTCGAGGGTCGCTCTTCCAGGGGGTGCAGGGGGCTGGGGTGGTTCCCGGCCAGTGCACGCACACCTTGGGGAGACATGGGGGGCATGTTCCCTCCCCGCCATATTTTTGCATGGGCTGATGCCACTGCACACTCAGGGCCAGGGGCTGTGCCAGCCTTTTCCCGGTGGGGGTGCTGGGTCGGGGCTACGCTCAGACTGGGCAGGGGCAGGGTGGGTGGTGCTGGGAGGGGTGGCTACAGACACCCCACAATTCCCCGTAGCCACCCCTCCCAGCGCTACCACCGCCTGCCCTGAGCACAGCCCCACCACAGCCCCCCCGCTGGGAAGAGGCCAGCACAGCAGCTAGCCCTGAGCCCACAGTCCGCCCTTGCCCCACACACAAATCTGGGGGGCACATGCCCCCCATGCCTCCCCTGGGGGTACATGCAGCGGCAGGGAGCTGCCTCCCCACTCCCCATGGACGAGCCACCTGCAGCTCTGTCCCACTCCTGGCAGGGTCACATCCCTGGCTGGGCAATGCCTGCCCCAGCCCCACTCCTTCCCTCACTGTGAGGGGGTCTCGATCTCCCCTGCCCCGCCCCTTCCTTTCCCCATGTCCCTCCCCCCACACAGACTTACTGGCAGGGAGCTGCTGTCCAAGCTGCCAGGCTGCATATTGACTACTGGATCAGTATCGGCCAACATGGCTGGTTAATAATCGGGTATTGGCCAGAAAACCATTTATCAGTGCACCCCCTACTTGGGACTGGGCTAGACTTGACTAATTCTAGTGCTCTAGTCAAGAGGCATCTTTCTGGTCTATCATTCATTTGACTAAAACCCACCAGCATGTTACTGTTGGCTGGGGGTGTATATGTCTATACAACACAATGGACGTAGAATACCAAGAGTCTAGTGGGTACATTTTGCCATGGCATGCTACAGCCATGGGTACATTTCAAATAAATAAACCCAACAATTTTAAATTAATGTGTAGCTGTGACATACTGCTCTGTAATCTCAAACACTCAGGAGGCAATATGGGGGTAGAATAGACTAGGAGAACAGGACTGAATATAGCAAGCAACTCCAGAGCTGTCAACTCAAGCTCTGACACAGGGTGCAGACCCATGACATGTCTTAGGCAAAGTAAAAGGGGAGTAGACAGGCCACAGTGGGTCAGAATGGTTGGGAGACTGGATTCCTATGTGAAATCTTTTGGGTTTATCATGCGAATCATGTGCAGGGGATTACCCACCTAACAATGATAATATTGATTGACATTCCATGGCACCCTTACAAAGGATCTCAGAGCACCATAAGGTGCTGCAGAACCACTGCTGTACCAATACAAGGGCTTAATGGTAACTGGATTATGAGATGACGACCTTACGGAAGCCACAAAGGTCTGAGAAAGATTGTTCTGCCATTTCTTACCACGTTATACAGGAAATGTGACAACTCTGTTAACAGACTCCAAGACAAACCACTCTCCCCAGCAGAAAGAAGCACGTGGCTAGAGAAGCTTTCAGGGTATGAGGGCATGCAACTGTACCTGCTTCTTTACTGCTTCTGTGACTGCAGTTGCTGCATCCACAAGATCTCTCACACTTGAAGAGCAAACATCTAGGCCCAACTTCTCTGCACTGAGAAAGGCATAGAAAGCTCCACCATACCCAATGTCAAGCACCACCTTCCCGTAGCCAGGGACATCGACTGTCAGGTCTATGCAGAGATATGGGGAAACAATATACATGCATGAGCACAGAGAACATTCCCCTATATTCTTAACATGTGGAGCCAAATTCTTCCCTAGTCTGCACCCAGTGCAATCCCATTGATTTTAGTGCAACTGTTAGCACAGCGATAGGGAAGACGACTTGACATATAAACACAGAAGACAGCAAACAAGTAGCAAGTCTTTAAGGGCCTGATCCAAGTTCCATTAGTCAACTGAAAAACTCCTGGATTTTAACAGAAGTTTGGTTTGGTCCTAAATGAGGGCGCAATTTTCTCCAAGTTCAAGGACAGTATTTTGAGGAGCTGCACTTAGACTGTTAGGCAAGTCATGCTCTTTAGGCAAGAATCAGATTTTTCCAATTTCCCTTGTGCTCATTAAAACAGGGCAAGCAATCAGATTTACCCAATGATCTTGTAAGGTTGCCCGTCCAGCCCTTAACATCTATAAATACAGTGGGGCCTCACACAAATGCAGCTGTAAGTTGATTAAATGATCCCGCCAGCTTTACTCAAGGGTCTTGGGATGGAAGAGGTGCAGGAAGCCAATCAGCCAAGAGGCTAGTGCATGGAGGGAGGCACAAGAGCAGGACATGGGCAACTGTTAGACCGAAGACCTCAAGTGTTACTTACAGAAGCCGAGCAGGGTTATGCAATAACGAGCACACTACAGGGGATGGGATCACATCCTGGGGCCTCTACTCTATCCCGAGCTCTGCTCTTTGCAGCTGAGCCAGAGGTCTCGGAAACATTAGGCCTTCATTTGCAGAGAGCCCAACAGAGCGGGCTTCTTCCTCCTCCTGACTTGGTCATGGATTTCATCTGCTGGGTCCACACTTAGCCCAGTTTTTCTGTGGAGAGTCAAGAGTCGGTACAGACTTTGTTAAAACGCCAGGTCCCCCCCCCAGCCAAGGCCAGTTGAGTCTGGCTAACTCATGCCTGCTTCTTTCTGCCCTTTAACAGAGGATACATAGCGCCTATCTCCCTGTTTTCTGGAGCACTCTGGGCATGTGCAAGCTCCCGAATTCGCTTGCAGCTTCAAACAGCCGGTGAGACCCCCCCACCCCAAAACAAAGTCAGGCTGGAAGGGACCTCTGGAGGTCACATCTAGTTCACCCCGTACCAGAAGCAGGATCATCACTGAGCCATCCCATCCGAGTCCTTGTCTAACTTACAGGTGCACGATCAACCCTGCGGCACCTCCGCACAGCACATCGCTCAGAGACACCAAGAACACCCCAACCTGCCATGCCTAAAGCAGGGGACCAGGCTGTCAGCGCCCACCAGGACGAGGCGTTTCGTCAACACGCAGCATGTGCTGGAGAGAGGCCAGGTTCCCGCTGGCGGAAGGCAAAACCCTCATGCGCAGACTGGTCCGACCACGGAGGGGCCAATATCCCTTCCTGACCCAAAGCTGCGACTGGGCAGACCCTGAGCAAAGGGCAAGGCCTTGTAGCCAGGAGGCCCGCGGG